ATTCTGCAAATAACCTAGTTGTGATCTACTCTGTCAACAGGTACATAGCATATTATAAAAAAATAATGAAAATCTACATTGAAATATTATGTGAATTATATGAAATGATGATCACATGTTAAATATAAGTTTATAGATAATATAGCATGTTTGCATGATGTTTAAATTTAATGGTTGTTAGTGGATGATAATGATATAGCATCTTGTTAGTGTATGATGATGTAGTATTTTTTGCATGTTAAGCTTTAAAAGTTAGTGAGTTATAACTTTATAGTAAGAGAGGATACAACCTCACTTTGAAAAATATATTGGCATATTATATATGTGTAGCGCCCATTCCGTCGTGGCGCATTGCGGGAAAATTAAATTCTAAAAACCCTAATTGCGAAAATTGTTTCTTCGCTTGCAGTCAGTCCGGATCTCAAATCCCCGTTCTATCGTCAAATTCAAATCCCGAATCTCGATCCGTCCCAAATCAAATCCCTCCGCAAAAGTCTGTTTTGCCTCCCTCAGGTTCGATGGGCCGAATTCCTCTCGGCCCATCTCTCTTCATCTCTCTCTCTCTCTCTCTCTCCCTCTCTCCCCGCTCTGCCCGTGAGCCGCGCCGAGCGCCTCCCCCTCGCTCTCCCTCTCCCCGCCTCCATCCCCGCGAGCTCCCCGCCCGCGAAATCGCGGCGCCGCCCGTTGCTTCCCGCGCGCGCGCGCCATGGTGGCCGACCGGCCAGACGCCGCCGCCGTCAGCGCCTGCCGCGCCTGAGCCCGCGCCTGCCGCCCGTGTCGCCGCTCCGTTCCAAACCGCCCCCGCCGTCATCGCCGTCGTCATCGACTCGGCCCCGCCTCTCCCCGCGCGTGCTTCCAAGGAAAGGAGGCAGGGCTCCTCCTCATCGCCCTCTCTCCCTCATTCTTTTCCCAAAGAGGCAAGGGGCAAGCCCCCTTTCTCCCTTCCTTTTTCCCTCTCTCCCTCTCTCCCTCTTCCCCGTCGGCGTCATCCGCCTCTGTCGCCGTTTTGGCCGCGAGCGCCGAGCGCCAGCTCGCGCCTTGACCGCCCAAGGTCGGTTTCCAAACCGACATTGCCGCCCTATAAACCCAGGCGCCCTCCCTTCCCTTTTTCCCTCCCAATCTTCCCCGTTTTTCGCCCGCGCCATTGCCGTCCCTCTGTCTCTCTCGCCGACCGCCGCCGTCGCGTGTGCCGGAGGAGCCGGTGCGCGCTAGGACGCGGAAGGGGACTCCGGGTGCTCGTCTTCTTCCTCTTCCCCGGCCCGAGGCCGGAGAGATCACTCCCGTGCCATCGGCCCCTCGTCACTGCTCCCCATCACCCCGCACGGTAGTGCCTCCCTCCGTTCTCCCTCCTCGTTCCATCTCCTCCCCTTAGACTCGGGTAGTAGCACGAGTAGCCTCCCCGTAGCTAGCTGGCGCCGCCCCGACCGTTGTGTGCTCGCCTCCCTCTGTTTTCCCTCCTCGTTCCATCTCCTCCCCTTAGACTCGCTGTGTGCTCGCCGCCGCTCGCTGTGTGCTCGCCGCCGTCGCCGCCTATGCTCCGTAGCGCCGCTCGTCGCCGGCCTCGCTCGGCGTAGCTCCGCCCAATCCGACGCTAGCAACGGATTCCCGGAGTCGCGTAGATGCTCTAGCTTGCCCGAATTGGTCTCCCGTCGCGCCGTCGCCGTTTCCCCCCTTCTCTCGCCGCCGGTTGCCGCCGCCGCAATCCACCGCAGTCGAGCAACCCCCGGCGAATCCGAGTCATTGGCTCGTCTCCCCTCGTCCCGTGCAACCTCCCGGTGTGCTCGCTTTTGCCTGTATCGCCGTGGTTCGCTCCGCCGCTCGCTGCCGCCGTCCGCCGTCCGTTCCGGCCGACGTCGTCATCTACCTCCCGCCGGCCCGCGTGGCAGCCACGTAGGCGCCACGTCGGCGCCACCTCGGCCGCGACCGGGTCAAGCTGACCCCGGTCCGCCGCTTCCCTCCGCCCCGCTCGCGCGCGCGGTCCACCGCGAGCCGTGAGGCTGCGCGTGGGCCCGCTGCATCCGCACCCCCGCGAGCCACGCGCATGCACCGCGCCCCGCTCCACACCCTAGCGCCGCGCCGCGTACTCCCTCCACATGGTAAGCCGAGCCGCTGACAAGCGGGTCCTACCCGGGACCACGCAAGGTGGACCCGGCCCACCGGCTCTCTCTCTCTCCTCCCCGCCCGCGCGCGCGCCTTGGGCCGCCTTCTTGGACCGGCCAGCCCATTAAGCTTGGCCAAGCCGCCCCTTTCTCTCGGGCCGCGCCCTAGCCGCCCGAGGGAAGTCTATTTCCCCTCCCTCTTTCTTTTCTTTTCTTTTCTTCTCTCAAAAAGGATTTAAATAAATCCTTTTCCTTTAGACCAAAAATCGAATAAACTTAGAAATTCAAAATCTTCCCAACCGTAAGTCCGTTTGACTCCGTTCAACTTCCAAAACTCCTCAAATCTCGAGATCTATCTAATGACACGCCTAGAGGTCAATAATATGGCTTTATTTTCGCCGTTTGTTGAGTTGTCCCATTTCGCGTGTAGTTTCGGAGCCCGAAGACCCGCAGTGCGAGGATTTCGAAGATCAAGTTCAAGATCTCGAGCAAGGCAAGTCACCTTTGATCATCTTGCACCTATAATTTAAATCTAAGTATTTCTTTTCTGCAAATATTGCATGAATAGGATTTACACAAGTAATTCGGCCGCGGCTTGCGAGACGGCCTGCCGGCCCCAATCCTAATTGCTGCAATTACCCTCCTTGAATTATTGAACACTTAAACCTCCTTGTTAACGGGCCTTCGGGTACGCGCATCGGAACACCCCCCCTCAAAATATAAAATATCCAACCATGGGTAAAACTTGGGTTTTACAAAAGACTTGGAAAACCCGACACCTGGGTCGGTGCTTGCGAACTAAATGAATTTCCAAAAAATCGGGGACCGGGGAACGTACCGGGTGTACGGTTTCCCGCTCTTGCACTTAAGGACCGTTTCCTTGGAATTTCATCCGAACATAAGACAAGTGCGACCACATGGTTGGAATGGGACACCCCTGGCTGAGTAACTAGCTAATCGGGGGAGCCATGATGCCAAGAGACATGTGGATTCAACGGGGTGGTGTCGGGGAGAACCCCCGGGTTTCCTGGCACAGTATGGTCTGGGACCTAATCTGGTGTTGGTCTGGGACCCCTCTTGTTGGCATATGGTGAACCTGTGTCGGCTTTCGAAATGCCTTGTCATGAAAGCCTTAAGGTCTCTAGTCGTGGCCGTTCTGCACGGGCTGGATGATCCAGGTTAGTAATGTCGTGTGGGTAAAGTGTACCCCCTCTGCAGAGGTTATTAAACTGTTCGAATAGCCGTGCCCATGGTCATGGGCGAATGTGAGGTGATTCCTAGTGTAGTTTTGTTTGACTACTGCTTTGTGAAATTTGCTGAGGTGGTTTGGGTTCGATGTTTGGAAAATTTGCGGCTAATGGGATCAGCCAGGCCCGGGTGGCCGTTTGAAAGCTGTTGGCCGGATGCCAACCTTGATCAATTCATAAAAAACTGATACCTTGCACATACTCCGACCGGACGAGACGCACTGTCTCATCCGTGTCGTTTGAGAAGCACTCACTTAGTTGTTTCAGAAAAGAGTTTAAATAAAATCAATTGCAAAAACAACAGCCTTTCCTTGAAGCCTGCATTAAACACTTAATCCCCATGGCTTGCTGAGTACTCCCGTACTCACCCTTGCTCTATATAAATAATCCTCCCTAGTTGCTGAAGAAGATGAAGCGGATCCCGCTGACGAGGAGTTCTTCTAGGAGCAAGTCGGCTACGATGAGTTTTAGGGTTTCGGCCTAGTTCCCAAGTCGCGCCTGTGATGTTTGGTCCAAGTCTTGGCTTCTGCTTCCCTTTTGTAATGCAGTTGTGAGCTCGGGATCTGTCCGCAGCCCAACATGACTATACTCCTACTCTATAATAAAGAGACATCTGTTGCTGTGATATTCTGTCTTCCTGTGATACCAGCACTGTTTCCTGGGACTGGTATCGATTAACAGGTTAATTTGGAGCGTCACGGGCTAGTTCCGCTCGGGGCTAGTTCGGGGCGTGACAATATGTGTCTGCATAGTCTCCAATATTATACTTTGTCTAAGTTTTAAACAAACTTTATAATTTGATCATTATTTTTTATAATATATTATCAATAGTGTGAAATATCATATGAATTGTCCAATTAGATTTTGTATCTATTGAATTTGTGTTGTATCCGCTTTACGCGATGTGTTACTTACGTGTGTGGGAATGGAGGCCATCGCTCGGTCGCACTTACAAATAAAAAATAATTGATGTGACGAACGGAAAGTTGCAAATTTTTTAATTAACTAGTTAAGAAGTTGGATTCAACGGTACGTACCGTGTTCAGAAAATGGAAGCGTGTCCATAAAAATCTAATAGAGCTAGTGATTAAAAAGAACGAGGCGAAACTTATACCCTAGCACTATACTGTACGTTTTGCCCCTTAATTAATAGAACTGAGGTACAAACGAGGGTCAGTGTGCAAGGTCGGAAATGATCCTCGCGTGACTTCGTCAAGTCTTCAGTTCCTAATTATAACATCGGGCAAAAGTTAAGAGATCGATTAGGACAGTGTGACATCACGGCCCAATTTGAATTAGAAATGTGTGGTACATGCATGTAAGCTGTGTATGTATGTTTCATACCACATTGCTAGTTTAGTAAAAGTGGAATCAACTTATAAGAGCTTGTCCCTTCAACTATATTAACCCTTTTGTACGAAACGAGAATGAAAATAAAAATGAAATTGTAAGTGGAGTTGTTATGTGTAAGTGGGTCCGACCGTCAGATGGTCTGGACAAGGCAGGGGGGATGGTTGGATAAAGTGTATAATTATCGATGACCTAGCTAGCTACCTAGCAGCAGCTGGTAGGGCTATCATCCTTCGTGCAACTGCTGCCTATATATTAACCAGTACACCAACACCTAGGCCTAGATAGCATATTTACGTATATATGGCACTCGTCGATATGGTTCACGGGCTCAACAGCCCAAAGTTGCGATTGATCCGCATCGAGGTTCTCGTGTTCCTGGGCGTCGTCGGGCTGTTTGTGCTCCTCATCCTCGGCTCCTACCGCCGGCGGTCCAGCTGTGAAGCTGTCAAAATGACCATCTGGGTGGCGTACGCTGCTTCCATCCCCATGGTGAGCTACACCCTGGGGCTGATGCAGTCGTCCCCTTACAAGAACAGCCTCTTCTCCGTCTGGGCCATCATCCTCTTCATCTTCCTCGGCAGCGCCGATTCTTTCTCTGCTTATAGCCTACTAGACAACGACGACTGGAAGAGGTTCTACTTGAAGCAGCTCATCGAGTCTTTCTGGGTGGGTTGGCTGGTGGTTTCCTCTGGTGGCTCGGATTTCCAGTACATTCTATGGGTCATATACTGCATAGTCATATTGAAATCCGGCACACGGGTCGCGTCGTTCAAGCTAGCCAGTAGAAGCTCCATGCTCTCCAAGAGTACCAAATGGGTGGCAGACTACATGAGCTACGAGCACCTGCGACCTGCCGGCGACGGGGTCCAACGACGAGACGCCGTCGACATGCAAGGGTACCACTATGTGGTTGCAGGAGAGGACGAGCAGAATCCTAGGGTGGAGCCTCCCGAGTACCATCTTAGGTACAACGACGATGACCGGGCAAAGCTCGTTACCGTTCAAGATATCTGGAACTGCAATGGGAGTCTGCTCTCCGGTGGCAATGGCGGCAGGCTCAAGGACGTGTGCCTCTCCATGGCCTTGTCCAAGATGCTGAACCGCAGGTTTGCCGGCTTTCAGGTGCTCGCCGAATCAAATCTCCACAAGACCCGCGACTTCCTCTTCGGTGGCCTGCTCCATGGCGACAGGTGCGTCGAACGAACCTTCAGGGTCATCGAGGTAGAATTAGCCTTTGTGCACGACTACTTCTACACCAAGTACTTCCTTATCTATAGCAGTCACCATCTGTTCGTCACGTTGTCTTTTGCCATGGTCCCGACCTGCGGTTGGCTTGCCTACAAGCTGTTCCAGCATTTCCTCCGGGTACCCGATGAAGATGAGCTCAAATTCCTCGTCAATGCTAACCACAGGAACTACGACGCTCTCTTCACCTCCGTGACAGCGATCGCAATCGCTCTGCTTGAGGGTTTACAGGTGTACATATACCTGGCCTCGGCCTGGAGCAAAGTAGCCATGATATCGAAATATGTTACCACAGATTCATGGAACAGTAGCGTATTGTTCTCCAAGTTGATTGGATGCATCACGAGCCTCAGGTACTTCCGGAGCTGGGAAGATAAACTCGGTCAGTACACACTGCTCAAAAGTTTTGACTACAAATCGATGAACATACTGTACCATGCTACCTTCTCCTTGGTCAATAAGACCAAGAAGGGCCGCAAGGAAGATAAGCGTGTCAGATTATCCATGGATGTAAAGAAAACCGTTATAGAAACCCTGAAGAAGAATAGAGGCCTTGGCCAACTGGGAAACTGTGTCATATCTCTGCACGCTAACGAGGTATACTACCAACTTTCATGGTCATGCACCACACTCCCAACTACAACACATATCATAATGGCTTGGCACATCGCCACTACTCTTTGCGAGGTGGAAGACGAAGATCAACATGGAATAGACAGTACTACTACTACTACTAATCAGCACGTAGCTTGTAGCTTGTCAAGGTACTGTGCCTACCTAGTAGCCTTTGCTCCGGAATTGTTACCGGATCATAGCTTCGTCTCCGAATCCATATTTGACGCCCTGGTCGAGGAAGCCCGCGAATTGCTGAAGGGTAAGAAAACAATGCAGCAGCGGAAGGAAGCGCTAAGAAGCCAGGACCATGGCGACAACCGTCTCCTCGTTGTGGGCGGTCGGCTCGCAAACAATCTCATCGAGATCGAACACCCGGGGGACAGATGGAAGGTGCTGTGTGATTTCTGGGCAGAGATGATGCTGTACATTGCACCTTCGAATGATGCCAAAGCGCACCTGGAAACCCTGCCAAGGGGAGGAGAGTTCATCACACATCTCTGGGCTTTGCTTGCACATGGTGGCATCTTGGAGCGACCCACTGGTCCAGCTCAAAACGTATGAGCACCAATAGCCTTTACTACGTACATCCGGTGCCAAGCTTTATGCTCTATAGTTCTCTATTGTGTTAAAGTGCAGTGTATCTTCTATGTATGTGTTAAAGTGCTTGTAACTTTTACTCCCTCCGTTTCAAAATATTTCACACCGTTGACTTTTTAGCACATGTTTGACCGTTCGTCTTATTTAAAAAAAATTTGTTAAATATGTAAAACTATATGTGTACATAAAAGTATATTTAACAATGAATCAAATAATATGAAAAGAATAAATAATTACTTAATTTTTTTAATAAGACGAATGGTCAAACACGTACTGAAAAATTAACGGTGTCAAACATTTTGAAACGGAGAGAGTAATACAGCTAACTTTTAGACATACGTTTGATCAATCATGTTATTCAGAAATTTAGTATAAATACAATATATTTTATTATGACTTATTTTATCTTTAAAGGTTCTTTAAGCACAACTTCTACTTTTTTATATTTGTATTATAAATTTTAATTAGGATGAATGGTTAAAAGTACATAGACTCAACTAGTGCGTATATTTAAAAACGGGGCAATACTGTGTGTGTAGAGTGCGGTAACACCCATGCATCTTAGTCTATCTATTATAAAGTCTATCAAACTTTCTCAAAACAATCTCAAGCCATCACTTGGCACTCTAATAAATTAAAGAAAAACATATATAGAAACTCTGAGAAAAAAACAAAACATATACCCCTCGATTTTCACTTAAATTTATGGGTCTAATATTATAAACTATATTAGATTAGATTTCTCAAAAAAAACCGAACCAAACTCCTTCCTTACATAGTCTCATCTTTCCTTCTGTTAAGTAGGAACGAATGTACAAATATTGACCTACCTTTTTTTTCACGTAATTTTTAATAAAATTATTTGTTCATCGATTTTCACTTAAATATGTATTAGACCATTAGATCTATCTTTTCTAAAAATACAAAGCCTAGAAATTCTAAAAATTTTGACAAAAAAAGTACATATCCCTGGATTTTTCAGTAAATCAATAGATGACCATTGGATTAGAATTTAAAAAATCCTACTAATCACTCCTCATGGTCATCCCGGCTAATCACACCCTCCTATCTCTAACACGTAAGTACGTAATTCGCATATGTACGTATTGCATGTCAAAAAAAGGTATAACCGGCAAATCCTCTAATTGGATTAGATTAAAAAAGCCAAATCATATCCCACCTAATCTCTAATTTTTACGTACTGTTACGTGTCTCTATCTCTATCTCCATCTCTATTTCTATCTCTACTGTTATAAAAATTAAAAATATTTTTGCCGGTACTTTAATAAGTCATTCGTGTATGAGTCGGTTTTTAAGTTCGATCGTTTTTAGAAATACATATCCGTATTTAAGTCGGTTTTTAAGTTCGTTCGCTTTTGAAAATATAGAAAGAGTCATATAAGAATTCTTTTTAAAAAGACTTGCATGCTAAGACGATCGGACTTCTAATTGCAGCTTATGATTTTCTAAAAAAATATATATCTAAGTGAATTTCATCTTAACTAGACCGTATAACAACAATACAAATAAAATAATCTTCACCTGTTGTTAAATATGCACGGACATTTTTTCTAGTAAAAAAAAGTACATGTGTTGGATCGCCACCAAACCCCCTACCGGCGCCTACCGCATGCTCTTGGCCTGTTTTACTTCCAATTATGAAATCTTAGGTGATCTCATCCAAGACATAGATGGGATTGGCACCCGGTGAAATAGGCATATTGCGGCCGGTTGCCAAAGCCTCTCGCTCCTACAACCAACAGAGAAGGGTGAAAAATGCCTCATGACGTCATACTGCAACAACCACAAAAAGCACCGCAGGAAATTAACATTGAATCCCAACTAATGAAACTTAAAAAGAATTCATAAGGAACATATTATATGTATTCAAATACTTAAATTTATTGGAAAATTTAATTGTAGGAAATATCACAAAATGCTTACTATAAAACACCTAGAACATCACATGCAACAACTGCAAACGTCCTAGTGAAACATCAGGAAGTACGTATCGAAATATATAAAGAATATGATGTGCAACATAAAAAACAGAACCTTTGCTAAAAATATAAAATAATATTTTTATCAGAAAATAGTCATGCGAGATATTGTTATAAAAATTTACTTGCGATAAATACAATGGTTGAATTAGATCTTTAGATTGGATGAATAGTTTAAAATAACAATCATTTTGAATGTTATTGCATGCGACTAAAAAGACACATATGCTTCCTCAGTTCAAAAAAACCAGCCTAATATTAGATGAGATATTTTCTAGTGCAACGAATCTGGACAGGAACAAGTCCAGATTTGTTTAGCTCCTGTCCAAATTCATTGTAGTAGAAAATATTAAATCCAATAATAGATTGGTTCTCTATAGGACGAAGGGAGTATACGGTTTGCATGCGTGTCAGATAAAAAAAAAGTAGTGCTCAGCCATCCCAGGGAATGGAATGCGTACAAGTGGACAGTTGACAGGGAGTGAAGTGCAGGTTTACTAGCTAGAGATGGGCGCCCGGTTTTTTAGAAAAAAAAAGAATAGGGTGCATGATCCGTAGTCTCGTCGTGATCTTACTAATTTTCTATTACTACTTTTTTTTTTAATTTTTATAACTTTTTAGACTACTTGAGTAAATCCCTCTAGGGAGACCGGAGACATGAATCCATCACCGTTGATTGACTTGATCTAAAGTCTTCTGTCCAGAGTCTTTGCAGGGCCCACGTGCTTAGTAGGCAAAATTGTCAATTTGGAACAATGACATCTCCAGCATTTTGGCTTAGCTGTGGGCGGCTGGTTTTCTTAGCGCATCCGGTGTTTCAATGATTAATTGGTTATGTTCAGAGAAAACACCCATGCGTGTTTCATTGTTTGGTAGTGTGAAATATATACCAGTATGTTACTATACATTGGAAATATAGTTACGATTCGGTATATTTTAATCAAAAAAACATAATAAGCAAAACATGTATATAATAGGATGATTCAGTTGTATGTAAACATGAACGTGCTAATAACAGTAATAGCATCATCTAGCAACATGTTTAATACTAAGGTGAATAGAGTGATATACCCAGAGAGTGTATGTTCTGGTACTGGATGAGGCATGGTTGGTGTTGTTGCCTTCATTGCCGTTGTCATTGTCATTCTCGCCTCCACCTCCGTTGCTGCCATTCAGGTTACGGGCGACATGTTGATGTAGTGGAAGGAGATGCAGTGCCGAGAGCAGCCGTGTGAAGAACGTGCTCCTCAAAAACTTGATCGCTCGTCTAACCTGTGTACGTACTCAAGCGAATGGAGTTCTGGAAGCCTGCTCGTCCCAAATACTTGTGCGCGCAAGTGCTTAGAACCGAGAGAGGTTTATGTCTTTCCCAATGGGGAAGATAACCTTGTCCTGAACACTCGTGTGCTCAAAGTGCTTAGAATCAAGAGAGGTTTTTGTACATGCTAGTAGGGGAGATAACGTTGCGTGCGCATTGAGGTCTCGTCCAATACTTGAAGTAATGTCACCCGTCGGAGATAACGTTGTGTGCGCATTAAGTTATCGTCCAATACTTCAAGTAATGTCACCCGTCGGTTATGCCTTTGTTCATCAAAACAAAAGGTAGCATTAGGGAGGCAGGCAAGTCCCCATACGCCCGCTGGTCACGCCTCACCCTCGCTCATGGACTAGCCCAGCGCGTGTGTGGAAGTCTCACCACCACCTCAATCGCTCAACAAGTGCTCTCATATAGCAGCATATTTAAGTTGAGGTTCTTTCTCGTTGGTTTTCAAGATGGTATTAATCTTGTTAACATTAATTGTAGGTCTATAAAATTTATTAGGATTAAATTGGGTCTAGCTCATTTGATTCTAACATATTACGTGCCTGTTTACTCAAGGCTGACAGGCCAAAAAAAATGACAACCAAAATATAGTTAGGGGGTTAAACATTATATCTATATTATTGTTGATTTAAAAGTAAATGCTCCAAGAAGTGTGTAAAATTACGCACATGTATATGTGCATATAGGTTTTCCATTGCAATGAAAAAAATATAAACGACCCTTGAAGTTGTTTATAGTATATTGGATAACATTGGCCTAACTTTTAAATTTCCAGTATTCTAATAATTTATGAAATGCTTAGTCCAAAAGAAAAGAAATGTTTTACTACACGTTATATGTTCTTAAATATTTGATAGTAAAACTGTTAGATTTAATATGAAGATTTATGATGATTCCACTCTCAATAAAATGATTACTAACATTAGATGTGTTTTAATTATACCGCACCCTGAGTAGATATTGTATATGTGTGTGTGTTTTTTAAAAGTCTGAGCAAATACCTATGTGAGCATGCACGCACGTACGTACGTACTCCCTCCACTCTCCTACTCACCTCTAGGATACTATTAGCTAACACATAATATATAAAAGAATAGCTAAATAATCATGACTCTCAAGTTAAATGTACTTTTCTCAATTATTTGATTTGTTGTGTTATTTATAAGTAAATACATAATCCAAGATCCATATTACCCATATTTTGCTATATAGAAGTTAGATAGTGCGGTCATTCTGACAACAAATATTTGAGCATAATAGCACTTCGAAAGCGATGAAATATGTGAGTCTAAAATCCATGTTCAATCACCACCAAGGAGCTTGGAACCATGATGCATGCCTTGGGCTTGAAACTGATGGAGAGATGGACACCGACGACAGTGACATCAATGACTTCCACGAGTTCCTAGGTCTAACAGCGTACTAGATGATTAGGTGAAGGGCAAGGACTGAGAGGAGAGGCAGAGGGAGACGTTCCACGTCTTTGACAAAGACTAGAAAATGGTTCCATCTCTACCGCCGAGCCTTGCCACATCATGTCCAATACATCAAGAGAGGCTCACTAATGAGAAGGCCGACAAGATGATCCGCGAGGCCGATGGTGACAGCTGGATTACTACAAGGAGTTTGTAATTAAATTCAGAAAAAAATTAAAACAAGCAATTTGATTAAAAACGCATTAAAAATAAAATAAAAATTAAAACTAAAAAACATAACAAGATACTATGTAGAATATAAAATATCAAGAGTCTATATAAAAGTATAAGTTATAAATATCTTAAATTTGGAATAATAA